CACTGGGGCCGGAGGGGCGGTGGTCGTGCCCTGACCTGCTCCCGCCCCGCGACAGGGCTGAAACAGGAGCTCTTCCACCGGCACAAGGAGGCCCAGCAGTGCTGCCGCCCCCACAACCTGCCGCTGCTCCGCGCCGCCCAGCATCGCGAGATGGAGGTGAGGGGGGGCCCGGCTGGGCGCAGCCTCCCCTGGCGCAGATCCCCGGCGGGTCACAGCAGGACCACCCCTGCGCCCGGCATCTCCAGAGGGTTTAACTAGTCACCCCCTGCTGCCTTGCGAGCCACCAGCTGTCCTGTCTGGCCTTGCTAGCGCAGCCCTAAGGTCCTCACACTGACTTGGGGGTCCCCTCCTCTTGCTCTGCCTTTTGTCCCAAGACTGTAGAGAGGTTGATGCTGGTCTCCTCTCACACGTGATTAGTGACAGAACAAGAGGGAATAGCTTTAAACTGCAACAGGGGAGGGTCAGACTGGACAGAAGGCCAGTGGCATCCTGGATTGTGTCAGCACTGGCGTGGCCAGCAGAGACAGGGAAGGGATCTGAGCCCTGTGCTCGGCACTGGTGAGGCTGCACCTCGATGAGTGGGTTCAGTTTTGGGCCCCTCACCCCAAAAAGGCCATTGAGTGACTCGAACATGTCCATAGAAGGGCAATGGAGCTGGGGCAGGGTCTGGAGCACAGGTCTGCTGGGGAGCGGCTGAGGGAACTGGAGGGGTTTAGTCTGGAGAAGAGGAGGCTGAGGGGAGACCTCCTGGCCCTCTGCAACTCCATGACAGGAGGATGCAGAGAGGGGGTATGAGTCTCTTGAGCCAAGTAGTAAGCGATAGGACAAGAGGTAATGGCCTCAAATTGCATCAGGGAAGGTTTAGACTAGATCTTAGGAAGGATTTCTTTGCAGAAGGGGCTGTTGGGCGTTGGAATGGGCTGCCCAGGGCAGGGGGGAGTCCCCATCCCTGGAGGGGTTGAAGAGTCGGGTTGACCCAGCGCTGAGGGATCTGGTGGAATTGGGAACAGTCAGGGTGAGGGTCATGGTTGGACTGGAGGAGCTTCAAGGGCACTTCCAACCGAGACGATTCTGTGATTAGGAAAAAAATTTTCACGGGAAGAGTGGTCAGAGAGTGGAATAGGCTGCCCAGGGAGAGGGTGGAGTCACCATCCCTGGGTATGTTTAAGGGTCATTTAGATGAGATATTGGGGGATGTGGTGTAGGGGAGAACTTTGTAGAGTCGGGCTGAGGGCTGGACTTGTATGATCTCAAGGGTCTTTTCCAACCTGAATGATTCTGGGATACTAAGGATAGATACATCTAGGATAGCTGCAGTCCAGGTGTGATCTGGGAGTTGTGGAAATTCAGGAGCCCACTCCAAAAGAGCAGTGGTGTTTCCCACTGTGCATTCATGATTCCTCATTATTTGGCAGGCTGAAGCCTGTGTACAGATAGAGCAAGTTTATAGAAAACATAGAGAAGGTACGTGAAATCTACTATTACACCATAGCAAGTAGAAAGCAGAGAGTAGTCAAAAAAATAACATGTTTTACTTAGTAGCACTGATAAGGAGGAACTTCCTTGAGATATGTAAGCATAGAAATAGTTCCTGCAAGCATCCCGAAGCATGTGGAGAAAGGCACTTCAGCAGGAGCAGTAGGTTCAGTCCCAAAGGACTTATCTGTACATTGGTGATAAGATAGAGGCAGTTTTATAAGGTAAAGGAAATTGCAAGTAGCTATTTATCTTAATCAGTTTAAATGTAGGGGGTAGTTACTTTACTCCATGTAAGGCAAACAAATAAGTGTTTAAATAGAGGCTCGTTCCTGACCTTTGCCCATAACAAGCACCACATCAGCGCTTGCTGTTGGGTCTTTTGTCTTGGTGTTTCCATGTCCCTTGTTCTGTATTAAGGTGGCTAAAGCCAGGCTGGGCCTCTATTAGCTGTCCCTGTTACTTCTGTCTCTAGCTTATACTTGCAGCAAGTAATAATCTATACTGCCTGTTTTAAAGTGATTCCAATATTCACTCATTAAGTGGACCATATACAGGTCATTTCTCCTTGTTTTACATGGTGTGCAACTTCTTCCTACTTCCTTCCACGTTCCCCTTTCTCTTTCTGTTTCCTCTGGACATGTTACTAGAGTTACTTCTTCCCTTTTGTATTTTCTGATATTTCTGCTGTGGAGCATTTCAGGAATAGATTGGTCATCTCTGTTACAATTGGTACCTGTCTAGTCAGAACTGCCCTGTGTGGTTGAAGGCTTCAAAAACCAGCTCCACAAGATAGCTTGGGATTGGTCTCCCAGTAGAGGTGATACAAGATGTAGTTTTTAGATGTCTGATTTCTTAGTGAAACCCATGCCCCTCATACAGGGTCATCAGCCACCAGAGCTGAAGTAAAAGCTTGTGTTTAAGCCTTAGTTTTCTCCAGGATTTTGGAACTTTTCTGTAGCCCAGAATCAGATGCCAGCCCTAGCAATATGTTATTTATATGTTTGAAAAAAAAAAAAAAGTATCTGTTTTTTCCAAACCCATGTAAAGTCACTCGTCAAGCACAGTAAGTGAAGAAGGTGATGGTGTGGTGCCTCCTTCCCCCAGGGTGATTGGGAGAAAGGAGTGTATTTGGGGAACAAGGGATTTGAATCCTTCATATCTTCCACAAAGCTCCACAATGAGCCTCTCGACTGAAGGAAGCTTTTTTTAAGTTCACTAGCATCCCATAGTGAAGGAGGCAATTCTTCCTTAATAGCATATGGTTCTGTGAAGCTTTCTCAAACCTGTGGACATAATTAAAAATGTAAGATGCTAATTGCCTGCTGTATGTACATCCAAGAAAGATTACATGAGGTAGCTCCTGCTTCATTTAAGTAATAATTGCTCTTGGTTTAGGTCAGGCCCTTTGCAGAGAACTACTGATACGTCTGTGATGTAGACAAACCTCAGCTCTTTTCCAGACTGTCCAGGGCTGAGACCTCAGTCATTCAAATTCTGACTTTTCCCCAGGACTTGTAGCAGTACACAGGCTTTCAGCTCCCCTCTTGGATGGATTTGCCCAGGTCTTTTAAACCACCAGCTGCTGGTGTAGGAAATCCCAGGCTTTGTGACTTCTCCCTTCCTGTGCAGTCAGGATAACCTACCCCCATGAACATTTCCAGCTAAATGCATGCCTCTTTACTGTGTTACAAAGGGGCAGCGTTGCACGAGTAAAATGTTGAAACTTGTGTCGTTTGTTTCTTGCAAGAGAATGAGCCTCCCTTTGTATTTAGATGGGATTTGATGCTTCCTGACTTCCCCTGTGTCTTGCTCAATGCAGTCTGCTAAGGTTGAATTGCCTTACCTCCAAACACATTTGGCTTTTTATTTGAGCTGGACTGTCCTCATCGTCTGCAATCCTTCTGCTCTCTTCTCCCCTCTGGCAGGGTTTCTGGTAGGTTGAGGTTTCCTCTAGAGCAGTACCCCATTTTGCAGCTAGCAGATCATCCAAGTGCTCCTGGAACAAGCCCACCACTCCCGATTTCCAACATGTTTTTGATGTAGCATGTGGTCTCTATGCTCCATTTCTTTTTCGGGGGCAATGCAGACATTTTTCTGCTGAGCTTTAGGCAGATGTCAGCAAGGTGGGAGGGGCTGTGTTCTCCTGGTTGGGGTTATTTATCCTCATTTGATAATGTTCTCAGTCTGCCAAAAATAGAAGCCCAGCACACTGTAGTCTCAAGTGAGACTTCAGCTTGCTGGTGTCAATACAAAATAAAGTGGCTTTCCAGCTGTAAAGTTAGGTTTTTGAGGAGTTCAGCTCCTTTGATGACTAAATGGGATCTGGGTGTGATTTATAGCTCCAACTCTGTGTCTTAGTGTCCAGGGAACATAGAGGCTTAGGTGTCCAAGCTGGCCCCTTGGTGAGCTTCAGTGGCCTATGTTACTCCTCCATGTCTGTCTTCAGCCTCACCAGTCCTGTGAGGACTTATTTTGAGCCCATACTGCTGGAGTGCTCAACCATAACCTGCAGCTTATCAAGAAAAGTTCAGATACAGATCTGTTGCTCGTGTTCTTTCCTGGCCTGCCAGCACACCGAACGGGGGCTGCTCCCAGTGCTTTCCCTGCACTTTCTTGAGTGGTAGCTTTGCTAGGAGACATGGCAAGGGGAGGAGGTAAGATCTGGGGCTGTGCTTGCTGCCCTCTGCTGTTCTTGGGACTCTTCAGAGCAGGAGTGCTTCAGATCTAGTCACTATTAGAAGATTTAGGGATAAGAAAAAGATAGAAGGAAGGAAGATACTCCACTGTTGGTTGGGGTTTTTTTTTCTTTCAGTCGACTGTTATCTTTTTTCAGGCTGTGGAGCAACGAATTCGAGAGGAGCAGCGAATGATGGATGAGAAGATAGTCTTGGAACTGGACCAAAAAGTGATAGACCAACAGAGCACTCTGGAGAAGGCTGGGGTGTCTGGCTTCTACATCACCACCAACCCACAGGTTAGTGTGTAGGAGGGAGCGTAAGATCTGACAGTACTCTTGTGTTAGTATCTTTATTTTTAAAAAAAAACTTACTCTTAAGTTAATTCTGAATCACTGGGTCAGAAAAAATGATCCATCCTTTGCCTCATTAGCTGATGGGCAACATGCCCTGGGCAGATGTAGTACCAGGTTCAGATTGAAGGAGCGGAAGCCCGTTAGACAGGGCAACATCCCCAGCTTTCTGCAATATTTTTCCCAGTGTGGAGAGAAGAAACACTCTGCCAGCAGCCTGCAGTCCTGTGACTCTTGAATGGGTCTGAATAATACTAAAATAAGTGGCTGTGTAGTTTTATCACTTTTGTATCTTGCCTAGCTGTACAAATTGCCTTCAGAAGTCTTTTTATTAGACTTGTTAATCCTTGCATGTGACTTACTGGACATGATGATCTCAGACTGTGATTAGAAAATTGTTCTTGGTTTCCCAGTGCATCTGCTCTTAAAACTTGTGAGCAATTGCCTGGGTTTTTCTCTGTTGTCTTAATGCCACCGCAGGAATGAAAAAATAAAACTTCCAAAGTCTCATTGTAAGGCCACAGAAGTTTGCAGGCAATGCAGAAACAGGCTGTTCTTAACTCTTGTTTGTTCAGCTGATTAAATTTCACTTTGATAAAGACCTACTAGTGAGAAAAGATGGCTTTAAGTTAGTTAAACAGGCATTTTCTAAAACCCACACAATTCCTAGCTGTGTAGCCTTGAACAAGCCTCTCATTTTTCCTGTGCTGCTATTCCTCATCTGTATAATGAAAGCAGTTCTTTCTCTCCCTTCCTGCCCCTGCCTTTTATGTTATTTTTGTAAGTAATAACCTTTAGCAGGGTTCCTATTTGCTGGGTTTTGTTTATGTTTGGCTTTACGATAGCTTGCAAACCAGACCCAGACCTTGGCTTGTACCTGTGAATGCCACCATCATATAAGAAATCACTGCTGGAATCTGCTCTCCATGCGTTTCCTATCAGCCGATGTGTTTCCCTTCAGTCTGTTGTATAAGATGCCTGCTTATGCAGTTGCTATATTTTTACAAAAATAGATTTTTATTTCCATAGTGTAATGTCTGCAAGTCTGAGTCACAGAACAGGCTTCATTGAATTAACTACTCCACCATGTAGTCTGTGTGCTAAATGGCTGGTGAGCTAAATGTGAGTAAAGCACAAGCAGATGGTAAGGAAGCCGTGAGCTGATGTTGGTGACTGCAGGAGGCAGCGGTCTCTGCTTGATTAGTCACGGAAGAGGGAGTTTTTGAAGGGGAACTAAATACCTGGAGGAAATTTGAGGCACCAGCACAGCAATGTGTTGCACATGCCTTAGACTCTGCTTAGCACCCAAAGCAATCCCTCCTGCTTCCTGCCTGTTGGTGCTGGAAAAGGATCAGGGTGTTGAAGATCCTGTTGAAGGATGAGGGGAGGGAGCTGTGCTGACCTGGATGGAGAAACTCCTCTGTGGTGTGTGGCTGTGGGTGGGCAGGGGGGGTGCTGCTGCCCCACTCCTGGAGGCTGCTCCAGAAGGGGAAACCTGCCCAGCTGGCCAGCCCTCACAGCATTTATCACTAAACCATCCTCAGGAAGAAAGAACCTTTCTAAATCCTTAATGAACTGTAAAGCTCTGGGGTTCCCAAGACAGCTGCAGTTTGTAGCAGATCTGTTAAGATATTACTGACCTGAATTTTATAGAAATGCTTAAACAAGATGAAGCCTTTGTTTTGTATCTGCATGCTTTTTCTTTTGTTCCCTGAAGATCGGTGTCTCTTGAGTGGGTGGTATAAGGCAGTCCTTTCTGCTTCCTGCAGCAGGGAGTGGGATCATCTTATCCTTGTAAAAATGTCTCTTCCTTTGCAGGAGCTGACTTTACAGATGAATTTACTGGAACTGATTCGCAAGTTACAACAGAAGGAATCAGAGTCAGAGAAGGCTTTTTCCTGAATGAGCAAATCTGCTGTTTACTTCCCAGAGTTTTCTTCTGACTTCCCTCTAAAGAATAGACTGTTAATGCATTTGCTTTATATTGTGTCAGGAAGAAGCTACTGGCTGTAGAAGAAATAGCTGAGGCCCTTAGATATCCTTAGAGCTGGGTGAAGCAGACCCCCAGAGCAGGGGGGTGGCTGGAGAGCATCAAACTGCCTCTCCAGTCCTCAGAGCAAGATGTGTCCTGTGGGTCTTGCTAAAACAAGAGTTGATGGAGAGGGTTCATCTGCACGCACAGCCTGTGGCACTCGTGACACCATTTACTAAGCCAGGGGACACAGGGCCAGGCTCCCAGGCTGCGAAGCCAGCCTAGCTGTGTATGGGTGAGCCCTGTGCTAGGGTGACTCAGCTCAGCGGGTGAGCAGCATGGTCTCCTCTTCCGATTCAAGGAGGAGGAGTGAGTGTCTCTGGCAGGGGATGGGAGAGGGAGCAGCTGCCCCATCGGACTGGGAAGCGAAGTGGACTCGCCATCCAGTGCCACCTCACCATGGCAGATGGTTGGCAGCTGGGAAAAAAAGAGTTCAAGGTTTATCTACAAAAAGATGCTTCTCTGTGTGTTGAGGCAAAAAACAACCTCTTGAACTTAGAGACCCTTCCCAGCGAGACCTCTAGGCAGATAACAGCCCTGGCTTTATTAGAGGAGGATTTCAGGCCTCTGCCTGCCATTACTGGACTGTGGCATTTGCAGTGTTCCCACCCAGCTCAGAAAGCAGAGAAGGATTGAGGGCTTTTGCTTTGTTACTTTAAACCAGTTTCCAAGTGGAGAGAAATAAAATATTCTGTCTTGTCTTCTGGGGCTGCAAGCTTTCTAAATGTCAATGATTGTGATTACATTTGTCTCCTCCCTGCTCGATGAGTGTGGGGTTTGGGGTGTGCTAGTTTAAAGCTGGGGTGGGGAACCTTGAGTGTTTCTGAGAACTTTCAGGGCTGAGCTTATGACCCCGAGAGCCCAAGTCGCATCCTCAGTGGACAGGAGTTGGGGCACTTGCTGAAAGTTTGGTAAAAGATCACTTCAAGTATGTAAGAAATGTGTTGGTACCAGGCAGTGGTGCCATGGCTGCTTGTAGGAAGCAGGATGGTACAAGGGAGAGTCTGTAAGCAGTTCTGCACTTCATGTATGAAGTTCAAGTTGGAGAGGCTGTTGGGGGTGGCTGAAAAACTTGGGCCATTGTGTGTTAAAGAGCATTGATTCCACCCAGGTTACTGTTTAAGGGTGTTCTGGCATTACCAGAGCAAGGCTTGTGTTTAGGAGACCTTTGTGTTACTGGTCGCTCTTGGCTGCATCCTCCACTGTTACTGCAGCAATCTCTCTAGGCAGCAGAAGGCGGTGTGAGAAGATTCCATGGGTCAGCCAAGGTACTGTGAGCCCTCGTGTTCCCATGAAAGCAGGTCACTGAAGCTGGAGTGAGCCAGCTGTGGAGTTGGAGAACCAGCTAAAGTGAGGAAACCTGCAGAGGTGTTGGAAGAGCTTGTGGGTGGCCTTTGGGCAGGGCAAGGTGGTGGTAGAGGAGTTGCCTGCTGCTGTAGGCAAACACTGAAGATCAGCAGCTACAAGGACCAGGGAGACTTTTGCAAATTCAGGGCTGTTGCCATCATGGGTGGGTGTTTCCTCCCCATAGGAGTGTGCAGCTGGAGACAAGAGGTACCTCTCATGGGGTCTCTGCCTCCTGGAGGAAAATCCCCAGCTGGAAGGTGGGACCTGCATTGTTGCAGGATCTCCATGAACCACCTTGAAATGTGTGGCTGCTTGACTCAGCTGCGAGACCTGCACTCGACTGCTAAAATGGTGAGGAGCAGAGTGGGTAGCATTTCTCTCTGGAAACACCTTCATCCTGCCTGTGAGGACACATACAGACAGTCTGTGGTCCTGACCAGGTGAAGAAGGCATCCGTATTCCTCTGTATTGGTAAGGAAATTGCTTCCCGAGGTGAGGGTGGGGGAGGCAGAGATGAACGATGGGTCCTATTGCAGGAAAGGAGACACTGCCTGGGTGCTGGGGGGACAGCGCTGCCTCCCAGAAGGACTTGCCCTCCCCTCCTTTGGCATGAGCACTCCTGCATTGCTGGAGCAGCGGCAGAGCTGATGGTGTGGCTGGAGGAGCTTGGGGGCAGCCAACGCAGCAGGTCGGGATTGCTGGAGGTGGGGTCAGCCCCGCTTCACTGCCCACCTTGGTCCAGAGCTCCCCAGGAGCCGGGAGAGCTGGTCACTGCCACCTCCGCTGCCGTCTGTCCCGGGGATCGCAGCGGCTGCTCCAGCACTGCCATGACAACGGCAGCTCTTGGGCTTCCTGCTCCCACCATCTGGTTGCGGATGGCTCTGCCAGGCAGCTGATCCGAGCTGAAATTTTCCATGCCTGTGGTCACAGTTGTGTTTCAGAAAGACTCTCCGCGTGAGGTGGGGAGCAGCAGGGTGGTCAGGCATGGCTAATTGGTGGAGGTTATCTTCAGGGAATAAAGCGCCTGAGATAGCCCATGACCAGGGAGTATTCATTCAGTGCAATTTCAATGGAGGAAAACTTGCTCAGCTTCCCCCCCCCCCAAAACATTGCTGGGTGCTACGACGCAGAGGATACACGTATTTTTCCAGGCAAGTGCTTTTTTGTCACTAGAGGGTGACGCCTTCCTACAGCACTGGCTGTGCCTGTGCCACTACAGTTGTGTTACTGCCGGTGAGGGCCGGGCAGGGCTGGGACCTGGTGACAGGATCCGAAGGAACTGTAAGTGCTGCCAAGGATTGGTGGATTTTGGCTGTCTTAGTTCCTTGGTTCAACCACCTGGGCAGCCCCTGAGCTTGACTGGTGTCCCAGGAAGATGTAGTTAGGGACCCCTTTGGTGGCAGCTCAGGTGGCTTCAGCCACCCACAGAGCTGGACCTTAAGTTCTCCTTGTGTGCCAGAAGCAGTGCGGAGAGAGGATACACAAGAGGATCAAGTTCCTCGTTCTGGTGCAAGGTGGATGGGAGAGCTCCGGCTCTGTGCCAGCCCCGTGTTCACCCATGAGCTGGGAGAAGGCAAATGATGGGTGGTACAAAGGGACAAGTCCTGTTTCCTGCTTCCTTTTCCTATACTTTGGATTGAGGAGGAGGATAGCAAGGTCTCCTCCATGTAAGGGGGCTGATTCAGCATAGATAAGGGTGAATTTATGCAGGTGGGAGCCCTCAGTGTTGCATGGTGGGCTACGAGTTGACCATTACCACTCAGGAGTGACATTTGGGGTGATGACTGATGGGTCTGTGGAAACATCAGCTTTAGAAAGAAAGAAAACCTAATGAGATGTTAGGAAGGGAGCAGAGAAGAAAATGAAAAACGTTTTGTTGTGAAACTGCTGGTGCACCGGCACCCAAACACAGGTCTCTTCATCCCAAGAAGGGTGCGGCAGAGCTGGAACAGGCTCTGCAAAGGCTGTGGGTACATCAGGGGTCTGAGCCACCTTCCAGCCAAGCTGGACTCCTCTATCTGAAAACGAGGTGCTCAAGAGGGGAGTTAAAACTACAGGTGACATGGAGAGGGACTTCACTCTCTTCAAACACAAGAGCTGGGGTGTTAAAGGAAGCCTGTAAAAGGCAGGTTTAGGGGGAAGACGCGAATGTTTGAGAAATTCCTTGCCACGGCAGGCTAAGACAAGTGGAAGGTTTGTGTTGGTTCAGGGGGAGGTGAGGCACTTCTGGAAAAGAAATGTCTTTGGACTTAAGGAGAGGGGTGATTCCTTTCCACCGGGCTGTAGGTACTTGGAGCCAGGTGGAAGCACTGCACACTTGCTCGCGTTTTGTGCCTTTGCTTAGACAAGGGCTTACTTCAGTCCTGGGCAGCAGGACCGTGAGCTGGCTGGGCCCGTTCAAACACTCACCTTCCGCTGCTGCCCCTCCAGCCGCCCCCCCTACATCTCTGCTTCGTCTGACAAATAAATACCCGAGCGTGGAGGACGTCCCCATCCTCCAGGCAGCAGCTCCAGAGCAGGGCGGGTAGAGGCAGATTCCTCCCCGGAATAGCCACGGAGCAGGGTCTCCATCCAGAGCCGCGCCCAGCAGCCGAGGTGCGGTATAACGGCTCCCTCAGGCTGCAGCGCCCAAGCCCAGCACATACACGCGGGGGGGGCGGCCCTCAGGTCGTGGGGACGTTGCCAAAAACCCGTCAGCCTCTCCGGGGGGGTCGGGGTGCCCCCACCTCCGTTACCCCCAACCTCCGCTCCCAGCTCCGCTGCAGACGGCGCTGGGGCTGGCGCCGGCCGCGCTGCCCTTGCAGCATCCCGGGGCCCGGAGCAGCCCCGCCCCAGTGGCTCTTCTGCCCTGTCCCACCACCCGATACCTGCCTGCAGGAGGGGATGCTCACACCTTTCTGCTCCTCTGGCAGGTCGTCAGGCAGGATCTCGTTGCTGTGGACCCCTCACCCTGCCCCAGGGAAGGGCCTGCTGCCTCCAGGATGGCGAGATGGCTGCCTCGTTCGGCTGACCTGACCCGCTTCTGCCAGAAACTCAACAGGGTGAAGACCTTGGAGGATGACATGATGGAGACATCCTTCAACAGATGCCTTTCCACCATCGACTTGACGCTGCTGGGCATTGGGGGCATGGTGGGCTCTGGGCTGTACGTCCTCACAGGCACCGTGGCCAAAGAGATCGCTGGCCCCGCCGTCATAGTCTCCTTTATCATCGCTGGCTTTGCTTCGCTCCTGGCTGCTCTCTGCTACGCCGAGTTTGGTGCCCGGGTACCCAAGACGGGCTCTGCCTACATGTTCACCTACGTGTCTGTGGGTGAGATCTGGGCCTTTCTCATCGGCTGGAACGTGCTGCTGGAGTACATGATTGGGGGAGCCGCGGTGGCCAGGGCCTGGAGTGGCTACCTGGATTCTATTTTCAACCACAAGATAAAGAACTTCACCGAGACCCATGTGGGCACCTGGCAGGTGCCGTTCCTGGCCCGCTACCCTGATTTCTTGGCAGCTGCCATCCTGCTGGTAGCCACTGCCTTCATCTCCTTTGGGGCCAAAGTGTCCTCCTGGCTCAACCACGTCTTCTCAGCCATCAGCATGGGTGTCATCCTCTTCATCCTCATCATGGGCTTCATCCTTGCGCAGCCCAAGAACTGGAGTACCCAAGAGGGCGGCTTTGCCCCATATGGGCTGTCGGGCATCATGGCTGGCACGGCCACCTGCTTCTATGCCTTTGTAGGCTTTGATGTCATTGCAGCCTCCAGTGAAGAGGCCAGGAACCCACAGAGGGCTGTCCCCAGGGCCATCGCTTTCTCATTGGGGCTGGCCACTGGGGCCTACATCCTGGTGTCAGTGGTGCTGACGCTGATGGTGCCCTGG